ATAATGATATTTCCAATTCAAGTTTAAGAGTATAGGGCTATTTCTTAACCTCTGATTTCTATTTCAATCTCTTTTCTCTCACATTAAAAATCTTAATTCTTAAACAATATTAACTTAATTATGTACCAGTTTATTACCAACAATATGATTACAGAATTGGTTTATTTTTTGCAGTTCTTTTTGCCTCATGATATATCTCACTAGGGACATATGGTCAAATTACTGTATTTTAAATCACTTGAAATAACTCTTCTCTGTGTGGTTAAGCCACTAACTCTAGATACCCACTAAAAAGCCACTAAATAAATATACATTTATTTAAGTGTATTTGGTTTTTTGCTTTAAATTCTAAAATAGCTCTTTAAATTTCAATTTAATTTAGTTTTATAGTTTTGTATAACAATCACATGGTTTCACAATCAAATCCACTCACTCAGAGACGTCTGGCACACATTCTTATCCTTTTCAACCTGTTCTCTCATCTCATAGGTAGTCTAATATTTGGCTTATCCTTCCATTTTTTTAAAATATAAGCAGATACATCTCTTTATATATAAGCTAGCATACTTGACACCCTACTCTGTACCTGGCTTTTTTCCAATAATATATCCTAGTGATCACTCCATAGCAATATACAGAGATAACCCTCTTTCCTTTGTACAGCCGCAGAATACTCTGAAGGGGAGCACCCCAAAATATGCCACTTTGGCATATTGATTGGTTTGAATTAAAGGTACTTGAGAAACAGCCAGTGCAAGGACACTCTGAGCCACCTTTGTCTCCCTGAAAGCAGGATATAAATCTTCCATGTGAAAGGTATCCACAAGCCCCTCCACCAATACCAGAAAGGAAGAGGACATCCTTAACACCAGAGACAGGGAATTTAGGGCCTTCTCATCCCTAAGCAGATCTTGTTACTTCACCAATCTACTATCACAAGGCCACACTACTTTGTCTTGTCAATTCTTCACAAGTATATCATTTCTTTGTCTAAAAACACATAAAAGCTTCCTGTTTTGGTCACTTCTTTGAGTCTCATTTTTATGCAGCTCCCGTACGTATGAAATTTAAATGTTTTTGTCCTTTTAATCTGTTTCATGTCAGTTTAATTATTGGACCGGCCAAAAAGCCTAGAAAGGAAGAAGGGAAAAATTTTCTGCCCCTGCAACTCCATGGGTGGATGTTTCAGTCTGCAATTGAGGGACTTTTGAGTTATTTCCAGTCTTTAGCTTTTAGTTCTGCAGTTAATAACTTTGTGTACATGTCCTTTTATATTTTTTGCCAGTGTGTCTTTGAGATAAATTCTAGAAGTAGGATTATGGGATCCAAGGGTAAATGCTCATGTGATTTTGCTAGATGATGTCAAATTCCCATGGGATATCCCCAACAGCAATGTATGAGGGTGCCTGTTACCTTGAAGCTTCTCTAGTAGACTGCATTATTAAATGTTTGCCATTTTAATAGGTAAAATGTCTCAAATGTTTATAATACTTAAAGATGAACATCTAACTCTCACCCACTTGAGGTAATCCATTTTTGTACAAGTGGTAAATTGAAGGAATTTTTAATAGATTTGACATGGTGCTAGGCACAAGTCCACATCAATTTAAAAAATCATTATTTGAATAATATGGAGATAATATTGAAAGCATAAAGTCTAAAATATCAGTTCTCTTTATCTGCATTACTTTGAACTTAACTACGAACACTGATTCCAAACTGAGAGACATCTTTGAGGAAACTCTTGTCCTACCTTATTATATGGGATTTAGAGAATTTGGAGAAACTGTATATACGCTTTCCAGGGAATTTTGAGACACGAATCTTAATGTTTTAAGTTCCGTTAGCCATTGCCATTCTTTTCACTAGAATGTCCCTTGATAGGTTAATTTTACCTATAGCATTTAGCATAGTACCTGGCATGCAGTAGGTGCTTATTTAAAGCCTATTTAACAGCTGAATGAATCCCTGCCTTTTCCCTATGTTGTGATTTAATACCATCACTACTTTAAGATCTGTTAGATGGAACCAGAAAATGGAATATACTGGCTTCACTTTCTTGGGACACACATTAAGGAGCAAGTGTTTACTAAATTGTCCTTTTTCACTGTTTATGTTCAATTTTTGAATTTCATTATTTTCATCCATTGTTTATCCTTTCCTCAATATTAACTTCAGTTCTCATCAGAATTCACTTTTTCTTAACCAGGGCTAGCTCTCAAAAATTATATACATTGAGTGTTTCATAAAGAACTATTTCATTGAAAGCAACAAAAATCCCTTCTCTCCAAGATTTAACAGCAGAGAATGTTTGCTAAATGTTTTAAAAAACATGCTCATTTTAGAAAATATCTCCAAACTTTCCATTCCTAAAATACAAATTTGGTCGGTTATCATTCTATCTATACAATTTCATATTTTGCTCTTTTCACTTAATAAGTATTTTCCCGTGACATAAAAAATTTTGAAAGAATATTCAAAGTGAGTTAAAATACCTCAGAGGACCCTGTGTACAAATTCAGAGCACCGGAAAGAGTATTTGTGTCTCTCCCCCTTACGTATACAGTGATTGAAAGTGTCAGCTGCCTCAAGGGTATGATGTGAAAATTTTGTTTAAAAATAGAAATTGCAGGGGGTGTGGGTTCCATCCTTGGTCAGGGAGCTAAGATCCCACATGCCTCGTGGCTAAAAAACCAAAACATAAAACAGAGGCAATATTGTAATAAGTTCAATAAAGACTTTAAAAATGGTCCACATCAAAAAAAAAAAAAGATAATTCACCTTGAAAATAGTCTGACAAAGTTTGGTGCTAACTAAATAAATCCTGACATATTTTTTACGGAAGAGACAGACCAGTAATGGTGGTTCTAGAGCTGAAAAGTATGAAGCGTGCCCATAAGGTACCTCAACCTCTGTGCCTGAGTGCTGGACTGTGTTGGGACTTACATTTATGAAGTATTCGGGAATTTATTCAAAGATTCAGAGAACGGAAAGTGATGAAAATAGAACCCAAAATGAAAATGACACTTTTCAAGTAGACCGTTGTTATGCCTTTTGGAGGGATGGGAAAATGCGGAGGGATTTCCCTGACTTTTTGTGGGGCAGAACAAGAATATCTGATTGGTGAGAACATAAGTACCAAAATGACCTTCGGTCACCCTTAAGTTTGGCCAGTAACTCTAGGGATATAAACAGGTGGGCCACAAATCCAAGCGCTGATGAACGACCTACACCAGCAGAATTTCCTTCTTCCTTCTGGATCAGAGAGCGTCTCCTTCCCAAAGAGTTGGACCCTCAACTCTATAAGACAAGCTACTTTCTTTACAGTTTTCTGGGTATCAGCGTCACAGTCTCATCCCTGCCTTCACTGGGAGGAAAAGGAAATGCACCACCTCCACCGGCCTCAGCCATACGTTGAAGCACTCGGGAATCCCCCGGATGTGAAGCAAGCGCCTCAGAAATAGGCCAACTGCCAGGGACTGCAGTAGGCAAAAGGGGAGAGGACGCTTAAAGAGGTAGCTGAGAAGGCATTTTATTCCTCTTCTGTTTTTAACTTTGAGAATTATTTATTTTGTTTGGTACACGGGCTTCTCACTGTTGTGGCCTCTCCCGTTGTGGAGCACAGGCTCCGGAAGCGCAGGCTCAGCAGCCATGGCTTACGGGCCCAGCCGCTCCGCGGCATGATGGGATCTTCCCGGACCGGGGCAAGACTCTGTGTCCCCTGCATTGACCGGCGGACTCTCAACCACTGCGCCACCATGAAGCCCTGTTTTCAACTTTGACTTGCAGCTCTCGCATACGGAAATTCTATAGCCTCCCCAGTTTGAGGACCCCACCCAAAAATCTAGAGACAAGCGGCGCATGGCAAGCTTTCTACCCCAGGCCTAACGGGCCACTCTGGGAGGAGCCTAATGCGTCCAGCCACTGCGGCCTAGAACGCCAACAAGTAGGGTAGGAGAGGCTGGAGATGGGGGCGGGACGGCGCGGCTGCCTGACCGCTGATTGGCTGAGGGCACTCGTTGCCCGGTGCCATTTGTTGTTGGAGGGGCGCACCTGACGCAGCCGGCGTCCTGCACGTGCAGCCGTTTAAGCGGCGTCAGCGCCTGCGAAGACCCTGGGAGAGCACGCAGTGGAGAGGTGAGTGGGCCAGCGGCTTTTTTCCCCCGTACGCGCCTCGTCCCAACCCTCTGGGCTTCCCAGTAGCTGGACTTTGGGCCGACTGAAGGACGGATGGGGTGGGCGGGGGTTTGAAGCCGTCCTTTGGCGTCATTCTGCTTTCTGCCGGAGGGTCCAAAAGCACCGTGGGGGCCCGAAGGCTGAGGTTGAGGCCTGCAGAGGAGGTGAAGGAGCCTTTTTGACCAGCCCCTGCTCGTCTTTTCCTCTGAATAGGGATGGTTGGAGTAACACTGTGTATAAATCCTCCTTGGCGAAGCCAGTCCTTTATTGGAGGTATTTGGGCCACCTAACCACTGCTTCCTTCCCTGCCAAACTTCGAGGCCTT